CTTTGTAAAGCTGTGACGTTCTTCAACAGATGGAGTAAATACAAATCTAAATACACATACATACGCAGATATGAGAGGAAAAAAGTCCAGCGGCCAAACAAGCCAAAACAAATGCATACACAAACTGTTATAACTGGAGAACTACTTTAGAACTACTCCTTACAATATTTGCATTATTTATGTTTTATTTCATTCAAAATGGTAAATATAAAGGTCAATCGAGTACAGTAAAAGTTGGTTAGCAGTTTTGGTACTGTGAGAAAGTGTTGAGTCCTGCTGGAAAAGGATATCAGCATCTCTATGAAGCTTGTCAGCGAAAGAATGCATGAAATGCTCTGAAACCTCCAGTAGGTTGCAACATTGACTTTTTGACTTGATCATACATAGTGGGTAAACCTCCACCACCATTAGAAGATGACCACATGGGACCCCAAATCAGTACAGAATGAATAAACTTCACACTAGCTTGAATTCTCCTGCCGTAGGACCTTGAGACTGTCTATAGGACCTTGATTTTGTTGACTTAAAATGTTACTTACATCTAAAAAGACTAAAAAGGACCACTGAGCAGCAGTTCAGTACTTAGATGCTTTTGACGTTGTCTCTGGTTCAGGGGTGGCTTGACATTGGTAATGTGACAGTTTAGCCACATTCCTACCCATCTGTGGCTCTTGTTGCACTGTCTTCATTCCCCGTGTTCTTGAATCGACTTTTCTTGACAGTCCTCTTAAGGCTACGGTCATCCCTGTTGCTTGTGTGTGCACTTTTTCCTACCACTGAGTTTTCCATTTGCTGCAGCACTGTGAACAGTCAGCCTTTTTTGAAATGACCTTCTGTGGCTCGCCTTCCTTCTGGACGGTGTTGATGATGGTCATCTGGGCCACTGTCAAGTTTGCAGTCTTCCCCAAGATTGTGTTTGCATGTACAGAGCTAAAGTAAGCTGCACAGTATTTTTACTGTTTGAGCAGTAATGTGTTGAAAAACTGAATTAAAGATACCAGGGTTCAATCAAAATTAAAATTAAAGAGAAGTTTGACATATGCACTTAGACTCCATGAAAATTACATTTTTTTCAATTAAATTACAAAAAATAACTTTTTCAACAATACTTTCTTTTTTAGATGCACTCAGGCAACATTAGTATGTGTGCATACATATACATTTCCACATAAATTTTATGTCTATAATTTTGTAATGTACTTGAAGGGGAAAGGAGAATATGACTATGACTAAATAAAAGGGTTTTTTTTTTTATCTTCCTGGAAAAATATTTTGTCTTCGGTTTAAGTGCACTAGGAAAGGCAACAATTGAGTGTTTGCTGTCCAGTAATAATGGTCTTATGTTGTTTTTTTTACCCACTTCTCCCCCTGAAAATAAAACCCTTCAAATAAAAACAATTTATTTGATCGCTTTTTGAGTCTGTCTCTGCCTCTGCAGGTGCTCTCTGTGAGAGTCAGTCAATGATGAGAGGAAGTGGCTGAAAACAAAGAGACAGCCCAGAGACAGTAGAGAGGGATGTAAGAAAAAGGGTAAACATGGGGGGGGGGAAAGGAAGAAGAGAGCGCAGAATATGGACGTCTGCAAAAATGGAAATACCTTGGGCGATATGTCAGAGCCGTGACTTCTAAGGCTCTGACATTTTGCTCAGGAAATGATCAGTCAGCATACTCTGAGTAAAGGTCTCATCACTGACAGAGTTAAAATGCAAATGCTACCCACAGGACACCTGAATTTGAAACATTTTCAAATGCAGTTAAAAATGTTTAAACGGTGACACTTTTCTCACAGTTGAAGTTGCACAGTGTTGCTTCAAGCACTGAATGCTGTCAGCCTGTTTTCATGGGCTCAAATGAAATGGACAGTTTACTCAAAACTGTTAAATGAAAAAGTATGGCTAGTTTTTTCATTATTGTTTTTTCATTAATTAGAAGATCAAAGCCTGGCTTTGTTCAAATGCTCATGTTGGCTTTTAAAAAGTACTTCTGTGAACCCCAAGTCGAAGCAGATATCCGTGCAAATCGTCTTAGCCTGCAAAAACAAAACAAATCCATCTGAGAGACGGCGTGGACATTAGGACATCCACAGTTTGCTACATTGTGCTGTGTTTGGCAACATAAACCGGCCTGGAAATCCTCAAGACGCGTGTGTGGTGATCACAGTCATGATATAGAAAAACCTCTTCACAACAAGGTCATGAAAAATCTCCAGGAGGCAGGAAATTATGAGAAAACTATGAAAACAAACACTCTAATACTAAGTAAAAGACAAAGACAAAAAATAAAAGTTCAAATATGGAGAAAAAGGAGCAACTGAAACAGGCTGCATGCCGGGTGATGCATGTGCACATTAATCAAGTCTACAATAAAGAGAAGAGTGAAAATGCAAGGATTTAACACAAGTGGAGCTACTGATCCATTGGTCATTTTTAGTCACGGCTGCCCAAGAAGATGACCCTAAAGGTGATACTGGCCAAAGTTACGTCAGAGATGAAGGGAAGAATTAATGCATAATTTATACCTGTTAATATACTTAAAATGAATTAGCCGTTTAGGAAATGTACGGGCGTATATATAGTCATGAAGTACAGAAACTGTGATGAATTGATACTTGTTCAAATATGGAAACACTTCCCCCTTTTTGGTAAGAAAACTAGTCCTAAATAGATTTTATTCTTTCCTGTAGAACTTTCAAAAAAGTTCTTCTACTCTTCTATTAATCCTTCGGAGAGTCAACAACATTCCTCCACAAAAATGTGCTTTCTCTCATTTCATCCAACACTAAATTGCCAGATGGGGAGACCTTGTAGTATTTGATTTTCTGATGTCCTGAATAGACTGTTTTCTGTATGCATTTGAATTGCATCGTGTATAGACTTTTTTTTTTTTTTTTTTTAAATGCAGTTTTCTGAACTGAATAGTGCTCGCCATCTCTTTGCAAAGCACTAAAACTGAAGTGGCTCTGAAACCTTGAGATTTTAATTAAAAGGTGAACGGCGGGCACTAACATAAAACTTGAAAAAAACGTGAAAGAGCAAAGCTTTTATTGAATATTGGATCTCCGTGAATAGAAGCTTGACTGAGGAAGCTTGCTTGAATTAAAACTGAAGAAGAAACGCGGCCTATGTAACAAAAACTGCAACCCCATAGCCAACGCATCTATGCACGGCAGACATTCATAAACGTCTGCTGTGCGCTGCAGCAGTAAATGTGTTCTTTTTCAGCGAAACTAGCACAGTTTTACTGGATGAGCCTAAATCAAACGGCTTTACAGCTTGTTTATTGTGAATGGTTAATTGATGTCCACCTTTAACATAGTCCAATTTTTCCTTTTTGTCTGAGTAAATCCACTGGATAACTTCTTTCTCTCTCCTTTTCACTCTCTCTCCCTCTGTCTGTGCAGGTAGGGGAGAGACAGCATGTGTTGGTGACAGAGGAGTCATTTGATTCCCAATACTATGTGGCTCACAACAAGTACTACGAACAGGTATGGTTATTGTCCAGATACATTAACAAACGACTCAAGCACAGAATCCATAAATCGTGTTTGTTTCTCACCGTTTATATATCGAATATATTTCTTAAATGCAATCTCAAGGAGCCAGTGAGGATAACTGTGAGCCGTGCCTTTGCTGAATTTAATTATTCTCTACAAAAAGTATGAATTTTAGTGTGGTAATATTTAAAAAAATGTCATATTTTGATAGTGAAAATTTAATCTAAGTGCACAGACTTATGAATAGCTTGTCTGCTAAAGAACCATTCAGCCAAGCTCTTGCACTGTATGGATCAATAATGCTTAAGATGCTCTCCACATACACTTTCCTCCATAGACAACTCTAGTGGAAAGGCAAATTAATCAATAATTTAACGAATATGTTTTTTCAGCGTGAAACTTTTCCAACTCTTCTTCATGTCTCAGGACTAGTCACATTAGGTGTCAGATGCTTGAGCTTGTATTGAGTAAACTAGGTTAGTTGTAATATCAAACACACTCACAAATACACACATAAACCCTGCGGTGGTCATGGCAGCATTTGGAGGCTGATAGCAGCAGTACTATTTTTTTTTTAAACTGTACTAACATTAAGGTCAGCCCTAAAGACATGAACATTCCATCCTGCAAACTCACACACACATATACCTTTGCATGGCTTCAAAGACCCTCTCTCAACCTGTGAAAAATCCACTTTAAAACATCTTCAAATAAATCAATTTCCTCCTGCTTTAACCATCATCAGAAACATGTTTGAAGTTATGCTTTTTATTAGCAGGGAGGGCAAAGGATGGTAATAATTTTTCCTCCCTTCCACTTCCCTCTCCTCCCCTCTTCTCCTCCTCCTTTGCACTTTCGTCTGAGGCTATAAACTTCAGTTACAAGTGTTACTCGGTTCATGTGTGCGTTGCGTGAGTGCGCACTCCTTAATGCGTGCCTGGATTTGTGTATGTCTTGGCATGTGTGTCAGCTGACCGTACTTAAGCACAATCTCTGACCCTCTTGTGTTGAAATATCCATACTCCTGCTGAACATGCAAACACTTTAAACATTTGCCTGAAATAGTTTGGGACGCTCTAGTGCTGTTAAAACAGACTCCACGGGCAATAGTCCCATAAGTCCCATAAGTGGTGAGGTGCACACTCCATGAATCACACTTGTCTTTTCAGCACATCAAACAGATGCTTGGTATGAATTAGACCGGGAATGCTGGGAAAGGGAACACCTGGAAATCAGTCATCTTCTTCAAATCATTCCTGAAGAATTTTTGCATTTTTATAGCTGTTAGAGCCCACATGTAAGACTACAGTTTAATTAGCTGCCAGTAACTTGTAGTTGGATGTCGTGCTTCCCATCATTTACAAAGTGATCCCTAATTTCGCTGCAAAAATAGCCATTTAATAAGTTTGTAACTACAACATTGACTGATAAAAGCAAGCTTTTTTGTCACTTAGGCTACATCCACACTCCGCGTCCGCGTCCACACTAGCGTTTTCAGTCGTTTTCACAGAGTTGTGCGTCCACATTGAAACGGGCGAAAACGCATACGTTCTAGTCCTGCGCATGCGTGAAACGCAAGAAGATTCGACCTGCCACATTTCTGTCTGCCGCTTATTTGCTTTCCCGAAAAATGTCGAGGAAAAGCACCGAGTTTTTTTAAATGGACTAACAATGAGGTGGAGTTGTTGCTGCGAGTAACACAAAAGTACAAAGTTGCAAAAGCGAGTGAGAGTTAAAGAAAGTTAAAGCTATCTGGAGCATGTACAGACTGATATTAATCTTTAATAGGGCTGTCAAAACTGAAAGCAAGCAAAACAACTGCTGTATAATGCCCTCCGCTATCTTAGTTTAATTGGTCACATGACTAACATGCGTCATTGTTTTAGAAACTCTCCGTTTTCGCTGTCCACACTGCGACGCGAAAGCACAGTTTTCAAATGTATGCGTTTTTGAGAGCGTTTTCAAAACACTGCATTTTCGTTGAGTGAAAACACCGTCTCAGTGTGGACATGAGGACAAACCGGGGAGAAAACGATGCGTGAAAGTAAAAAAGGCATCGTTTGCAATGAATTTGTGATTCTGTTGCCTTTGAAATTGTTGGTTTGAAGACGGGGACCTGGTCTGCAACCGCTCAGTTAGTTGCTGTCTTCAAAGCAACTTTGGTGCATCAAGACGGCAATAAAATTTAATCAGTTTGCTATCAGTTTGTAACTCATTGGTGTCCAGTTTGCAAATGTACGCGTTTTTGAGAGCGTTTTCCATCAAACGCTGTGATTTTCCACCATTTCCGTGTCAGTGTGGACGTGAGGCCAAAATGGAGAGAAAACGATGGACGTAGCCTTAGGTGATGTTTATGAAACGAGTGCTCATAAAGCACCGGCTCTTCCTCTTACACGCTCACTTTTATGAGTCTCACTGCAGACACATTGGTTCTGTTTTAACTCAGGTGTTCATAGCAATAGTAGGTAAGTCACAGGAAAAGGGCATGAAAGGGGTCATGGGCAACAGACTGAAAGTTACAACCAGCTTCATTTGGAATCCGTCTAAAACAGAGAGGTTAATAGACACATGGCAGAGAAAACAAAAGGTGGTGACCTGAAACATAACAGATACATTCAGGAGACGTTAACTTGTCCAAAAGGAGCGTTATATGGGACCATTAAGGCAGCTCACTGATCTCCAGTTCATACACATTATACATTACAGATGTTGTGAGTTCAGCCTCACTTTAATTCTTACCATATTGATCCATACAGATCAAATTATTCTAAAACCTGTGCTATTATTGCTAAAAAGCTTGTGTAGCAATAAAAGTGTAAATGGATGGAATAATGGATGGAATAATGGATGGCGAGAAAGGGAAGTTAAGGTAGTTGAATTGTAAAAGAAACAATGAGTTTGAGAGGAAAGGAAAGGAGAGGAGGAGGATGTGCGGGCTGAAGGAAATGGGGAATAAGGAAGAGAGAGGTGTGAGAGTGAACAAATGGCCTAGTTTCACTTTTACACCATCAGATGGATATCTATCCTGACGGCTGTAATAGGTACCCAACCCACCTGTGTGTGTGTGTGTGTATGTGTTAGTGTCTGAGTGAGGCAGCAGGAGAGGGGGTTTCCAATGAAATCAGACAAGCTCTTTCATCATTTAATCACTATGTAATGGGCAACGAATGACCCTCACCTACACACACACACAAAGACAGCTATCTCTTCCACAGCCCTGCGGTTTCACCTCTCCACTCACAGTCTGGCTGCTGGTAACTTACACGCACACACACAGCCTCTCTCTGTGGTCAGAGTGTTGAGCAGCAGGTGTGTTGATTGGGCAGACGTCGTGCTGGCTTTGTGTCTGTTTGGCCAGCACTCTGTCTCCTATCATATTTTACCAGCTGGATGAAGGCTGACAGATTAACACTGAGGCAGGCGTGCCCCCGCCATCACACCAGTAACAATCTCTCCTCCAGTTCATACGCTATTCTCTGCTCAGTCAGTGCCTAAGCCCTGCAGAGTAGTGTAATGGTTAGACGGACCACCAGATGATCCGAGTCGGCACGTCAGCGCCTCGCTGAAGCCAATGTGTACAAGACATTGAATTCCCAGCATGTCTGAGGCTGATGACCCGAACTCTGATCTGTCCTTGGAAAGGATTAAGCAAAAACGTTACAGGACTTATAGCAGGGACAAGGATCAGTGACATGCCATCTTATTATCATCATTATTCATTTTGTACATCATCTGTATCTTTAATGATGTATAATAATACGCTAACAAGTTCTCAAACAACTTTTTCAAAGGTTATTGTGTAGTGTCAGATGAAATCCATCTAGGTGGATGGATTTACATCTGCTATTATTCTCCTAAGGTGTTCACAAAGCTTGATAAAAAATGATGCCTTCTTCACAAAGAAAGTCACACTTTTGCAGTGATTAGAATTTAAGAAGTTTTTATAACTGCCTGACATCCTTCAAAAATGCACGCACACCAAATCATTTAATTAGTGTTTACTACATAAAACGACTGAATCTGAAAAGAAGAGCCGAAGAAAGGGAGTAAATCGGCACGATAATCATACACCGTACATCATTATCAGCTTGTTGACTTTGTAGCTAGTTTGAAATTGTCTTTGAAGGAAAAAGTATTTTCATACAGTCTTTATTTACAGGAATAAGTCATTAAGAACAAATTCCCTTCCACATGAATCCGTAATTATAACTCTTTGTTTTCCCTTTCCTTCCTGCTGTGATCAGCTAAGATGTGCAGTTGCCATGGTGAAATAATAAGACAAACCAGCAAATCCTTCCCTCTGGTTTAGCGCCCAGCTGTTCCTGTACTTGTCGACCTTGAGGTCTTCCATAAATGGAACTGAAAGCACTCAGTTGGGGGGGTTTGTTTGTTTTTTTCCGCTGTTGTCGTTGTTGGTTTTTATTGTGAAGCCGTGGACTGGCTAAATCAGTATGGAGGCTGACAGATGTAAAGAACCAGGGAAGATTATCTGGTGGAGTGGACGGTTATATAGGTCTGCTTTTTTATGTCAGTCACATTAAAGTCTTTGAGTTATCTTCCATGTACTCCACAGAAGGTGACTAAGCGGCAAACAACAAAATTGTATCCATTATATTCTACCTTGAAATTTTAGCAATATGGAGTTGTTAGAATTTTTGCCTTAAAGTGTTTTTTATTTGTGTATTTTTTTTTGCAGTGAAGTCAGTTATGATGTCCTCCGATTTGCAGGTGCTGGTACCTAAAAGGGTGGAGTTTAAAGGAAAGATGATTGTGGTGGACGTCTATGAGGCAGGAAAACACTTCATGAAAGGCAAACCAGTTGAGGAAAGTAAGCCGTTCACTCCTTCCATTGCCATGCCGCTTCAGAAAGGAGAGGTGTCTGGTCTGCTGCAGGTAAGCACATACATGCATGCTTACAGTTACAGTAATTAAATTAAAGCCTAGATGTGTCATTGTCTTGTCAGTCACTCATTATGGTGCTATGACATTTTTAAATGGATGCACAAACAGATATCGTCTTTCAAATATTCATATATACCTTGAACAAAAACACACTTCAAAAAATGAAGAACACCAGGTGATCACAGTATAACACAATATAAGGTAAACTTCAGGGATATCGGTGTGTCAAGTTACAAAGTATAAATCACTGTGAGTCCATTATCCCTGCTCTGGTGCAAATGAAAATGACAAGTCCACTGGAGAGGCAAAAACAACACAACTCCCAAAAAGGGAGGTTTTGTGCATGTTGGCTACAGATCAGTGCTCTCTCCTTCTCCCTCCTGACTAATTTCTCTCTACTTTCGCTTTAGGCTAGTGTGTCCATGTGACCATACCTACAGCCCATTCAGGCTGCACAAGCAGACCTGCTCCTCCAGGATTGCACTTCTGCACATGCCTTCACAAGAAGTTTTGTGTCTCAGCACAGTCTCAGGAGTGTGAAGGAGAGCTGAACATGACCATAGAAGGGCACTGAGCCAGCAACAAGGCATGGTATCTGCTGCTTTATGTGATGAGAAACAGGAGGAGACATAAAATGCATGCAGCAGGCTACTTGTGCATGTTTCTACTCAGCCTATCAGAATCGGCCTCCGTGAGGGTGGCATGAGGGTTCTTGGTCCTTTATTATGATCTGTGCACAGGAGTGCTCACTGCACGGTGCGAATACGTACACAGCACCGTATGCTTACACAGTAGGTTACATGTGTGCATGTTACTGAAGAATTTTGTAGGGTTGTGGTAGAGCTCCTCCTGCTCCTCCTTGTACAAAAGAGCAGATTTGGGTCTTGGTGCTTGGTTGATGCACTTTTACAGACCTGTCCAGCTGTTCTTGTGTACAGTATTTACCCCCTATTCTTGAGACTGTGCTGGGAGACTCAAAAAGCTTCTTGCGCCAATGAAAATATCCTACTGCAAGAAGTGGAACACCTGTGCAATGTGAATGGGTTGCAGGTACTTTCCCATAATACCAAGAATGACAAGAAAAGTAACAATGGTCTATGGCTCCAAAGACATTCTCTTTTTTTATTTTATTTTTGGAGGTTTTGTTGTTGAGCCTCCTGTGCAACTGCTGTCACTTTAATTTGCACCAAAGCAGGTGAAAGTGACTTCCAGAGTGGACACATTTATATCCCTGAAGTTTAACTGACTCCACGATATACTTTGACGATCCAGTGTTCCCTTTTATTAAGACCACTTCACATGATGTGGTACTACTGGTTCCTGTTCTAATAGCCACTTGGTGGATAGTGCTCTGAACCAATCGGCTACAGCATCTCGGGAACAAGGTTTGTAGGTTGCTCTTTGTAAGCTACACTGTAAGCAAACTGATAGCTGTCCAAGGTGGAACAAATAGTGAACCTGAGACGGTGAGTTGTGTTGGAAGCGAATGTAATGTGCAGCAGGTACACCTAACAGATAATTACAGTCGCAAAAAAACGTTTAAAAAATCAGGATTAGGATGCATTCATTGCTCATAAAGTGTGGTGTGGACTTCATCTTACACTCAGTTCTTTATGTATTTTGCAAATCAGATGACGGTTATATATTGTATCAGCAGTAAGTACAGAAATCTTGGTCTGCAAACTCTTTCTTGTGACTATGCATGTATTTGATCAAATACTGGGGACTTGTCTTTTTCAATTAGTGAGAGGATCTATCTCTCACTCTGTGCACTTTCTTTATCAAAACTATTAAAATTTTGTTTACAACAGGCTATTCAAATTGTGTGCACTCAGCATCTGAGTCAGGTGTGTATTTATGTTTGTCCATAATTTGAATCCATGCTCAGTCCTGTAGTTTAGGAAGAAGCCCCAGTGTATCATCCGTGAGATAAGTAATTTCAGATAAGCTGCAGGCCGGCTAAACTGTCTTTTTCAACACACACACACACACACACGCACATGTACACACAAAACCATGTTAATGTATCTGTTTCACTGCATGTTATTTTTCACTCTGACTAGCTATAGCTTATAGCTCAGGACATGGAGCCACAGAGCAGAATATGATACACTTTCTAATTTCACACTCCATCAGCCTTTACTGCCAGACGTAGAGGGAGGGGAAGAAAGGAACAGACAGAGACATGGTGGGAGGGGGCATGGATGAAGAGGAAAGCAAGCAGAAAGAGAAATGGAGAGCAGAAACTGAGATAAAAAAGAGAGGGAAAAGAAGGATTTCACAGGAAGCCAAGTGGCACGTCACTCAGCAGTAAAAAGTTCAGAAGAGGAGACTAGGCCTTGTAAAACTACTAGCTTTATGAATCCCGCAGGTCATCCAGCACACATGCATTCGCCCCTCACCCAGCTTCATTCTCAAACACTCGCAGTCTTCCAAAAGAAAATCTTACACAATAATCCAGGCCTTATTTTGTTGGGCACTGAAGAAACATGTGGATTGCCCATAAATTCATACACACACATCCGATCACACTTCAAGATAGATGAACCAAAATCACCTCAGGCAGCACTAAAAGAAAATGAAAAAACAAAAAAAACAACACACCAGTAGTCCCTTCAAATGAAACGATGCGCCTGTATAGAGCCAGTTTACCAAACGTCTACTGGTAACTTGTTTTCTTGAAAACCTCTGTAGAGGAGGCAGTTACACTCCAGCATCCCTGAGCTTGATTAAACTCGGATTCATGGAACTTTGACTCATTTTAATGAGACGGGCACTGTTAGATGTCCATACTTGATCGTTATCACTAAGTAATGGTTAAAAACAAACAGGGCTGCACATATATAAATGGTGTAAATAGTGCAACACAGACTAATTGTGGGTCGATCGTACTAACTTTTGGAAATATTCACATATTGAATGCCTATTCAGATCCAGTAACAACCCAGCACTCTACCTGCACTCTGTTTTTCATGCTTAATGGGCAAATACATATATTTCCAGCTATTCTCTTACCCAAGGTGAAATTCTGGAATTTTTTTAAGGTGAGAAGGGAGATAAGGTCAACGAGAAGTAGAAGAGAATTTATGTTAAGAGGTTGAGTTTGACAGAAGGAAGAAGAGAGAATCTTTTGGAATTGCAATAGCTGAATAGGAAACATTGATTTAATATCCCTTTGCAAACAAAACTGATGCTGTGAAGGTTTTTGAGTTTGACTGTTTTGACTGTCTTGATTTGCTGGTACTTTAGCAAGTCAAGGACTTAACAAATGACAACAAAATGTAGAGAATTTATTTGGTGAAGTATTAAATGAACTGAAGGAAGACAACTAAGAAGTCAAGCTAAAAGACAAACAGGGGCAAACATTAGTGTTTGTCTTAATTAAATATTGTGTCTGAACTTGAAAAGTTCCGTTTATGCTCCTCTGCTTTCCATGGTGTATTTGCAATTAAGCACTGAGTTATATTAAGTAAAATCTCCAGTGATGCTGACGATCTGCAATCCTGATGACCTGCATTGTCAGCTCTTAATGGTACTGAGTTGCACTTAAGCGGAGCGTAGTAATCGACCTAGTCTCTGGGAAAAACAATAGTATCTGGAAAAGACCGGCTTATTGTACGAGTATACAAAATGTTTTCCTATTTTGTTGAGTCTATTAAAAATTCCAAAGTTAAGAAAAAACATATATAAATATAGCAGGTGAACAGTATCTGAAAGCTATATCCTTTATAAATCCACTAAATGCCTGACACAGGACCCGAGAGATGCATCTTTCATTTCACTTGATACAGTTGACCTACTGTTCACTGAAGCCTCATCAGAAGTGGTTTCAAGAAGCCATTCTGTAAGAAACAGCAATGGGGAAAAGGTCTGAGGTAGAAGCACAGTGGCAGCAGGTGGAGTTAGTTATGGAGTGATTAATTAAAATTTGGAATTTTTTGGTTTATATTGTTTTCAATATGTACAAATGAGGTCGAGAGAGAGGTGCAACAGTGAGTGTCTGCAGCTGAGTCCACTGCAGAAAAAGGTGGAGTATGAGACGAACGAGTGATTGCGGTAAGGCGCATATTCACTCCTGTGTCTTGTGGCAGGGTCTATATTTGCAGGCTTGTGGCAAAAGGAAAAAAAGAGCAGGATAAGAGACTGTGTGTGATGACGTGCATGATAGCTGGATGGCTGATAGAAGGAAAGAATCTGAGCTTTGTCATTTCATCTAAGATGCAGAGGCAAAAAATGTAAAATGTAAGGCAAAAAAAACCAAGAAAAAGAAAGTGGCAGATAAGTGGATGGTTGGGATCGGCAGGGGAGAGGACTCAGGTCTGTAATGTCCAAAGTGAGATATCTTTCATGTCAGAAATGGAGAGTAATGAATGCACAAAAGCCAGCATGTAGTGATGTGTGTGAGGCCAAAGCGTCATGGCCAGATGGATAGATAGATGCATTTATAGAAGAATAGGATATGAAAGCCTGCGTGGATAGCTGGGGAAAAAGCGACAGATGTGACAGATATGGATGAATGTGGCTTAGTTGCCCAAAACTGGTGAATGAGTTGGTTTAATAGGTGCAGAGATGTGTGAATATATCAACAACGTATTACAGTTACGGATGGATGAGTAATGTGTATAAATTAATAGTGATCCAAAAGCCATCCCCAAATTGTTTTGCAAAGAATGTGTCTGTGACGATGCTTTTATGGACCAGATGAGGCAAAATCCACAGAAAACACAAAACCTCTGTTGGACGTTTTGGTTTTATTGTGTAACTAATGCCAAAGTGTAGTAAATTGTGTTTTCTTGCTTTAAACACTGGACAAGAAACACTTTTGATTTTCTACAGAGAGAGGAAGAGCATCACTTTATGTATAGATCTTTTTGTGTGTATTGTTGAACCTCCTGTCGGCCACCTTAAGATCTATAAACTGCTAAGTGTGCTTTTTTTCCACCGTGTAATAAAAAGCATTAATGACACCATACTTTTTCTTTTATTGAGAT